GAGGAGAGGGCCCTCAAAAAACACGCCGCGGAAAATCCGCGGAATTCTCTTCTTCTCATCTTAACATTTCTCGTGGCAATGTCCCTCAGAAAATAAACTCAAAGCTTCGGGAGACCCTGCGCGCTTATGGTTTATGGACGCGGTGACGGCAGGGGGAAGCCTCACGCTGTTAAGAAGAAGCCAGCTGCCACAGAAAGAACTTTTCTGGCCCTCAGGTGAGGCCGCTTTACAAGAGGGGCCCGCCGGTCATCAGTGATTCCACGCAACCGCCAGATCATGTTTCACGCCGGTCCTCGTGCGGCCTCATTTACATCTAACATGCATGTACACACCAACACGCTTTAAAACGGGATTGAAATGGAAGCACACACACACACACACACACACACATTTTACATTGTGTCCCAACAGAAATGTGAGTACCCACAATGTGACTGAAACCAGGTGTGTGTACCTGTTAAACACACACACAGTGGATTGTGAATTTGTCTCCCAACAAGGTGACAGTATAAAGACATTTACATTAGTTTACATTAGTTCACACATTATTTTGTGAGTGTGGCCCGTGGGTCGGATCGCGTGACCTCGTCGGCCTGTTCAGCTCTTTGCACAGAACAGGAACAAACAAGCAGCTGTCGCAAAGAAGAAGAAAAAAAGTCCTCCAACAAACCGGCCGGGCAGAAGAAAAGCTTCTCCAACAGAGATTCACTGTTCCACTTTACGAGCACCCGGGTTGCCGCTCAATAAATCTTTTATCACGGTGCTTTTATTGGGAGATTTGATCTCAGCAGACAGATTGGGGGGGGGCGGCGTCAAAAACCCCCACGTCTGACTCTGCTGCAGAAACCCACATTGATCGTTGCGTCTCACCCATGTGGTGAGTGATGGCGGAGCTTCCCTGCTGCCTCAGTGGGACGCGGCCTGATCGAGACGTCTTCATCAGCCTTTATCATAATCACGTCAGGAGGAATACGGCGCACAGCCCTTTCAGTCTGATGTCGGGCCATAAATACCCGACCCGGAACGAGCTTTCATCGGCGCCCGGCCGCGGTGGCAAAGACAAAGTCCTTCCCTCGGAGTGGAGGTCCATGTCGTATCGAGTGATGGGCCCCAAAAAGTGGTTCTTTCCATTGTTTACGGCTGTGAAGGTTAAATAAGGACTGCTTGGCTTCGTGTTTCACAGCATGCTTTTCATCTGTTTCCTGCTTTCAAGCTGGATGAGTGTTCAGAACATAGCGTACTACATTAGAAAAAGCTGTGAGGCAGCTTGACTATTATGACATTCAGAAGGACGGGTCCCTCCCGTTTAACAAAGTGCAAGAGGAATTCGTCTTCGTGAGACAAAGATCACTGACCGTCCGCGTGTGAATTATGTCTTAAGCCCTGAAACAAAAGAAAGGAAACACAGCGAGGATGAGACCAGGACGTACAGTACGAGGCTTTAGCACCGACTCGCCGACATAATGAGAAACCGTGCAGGCGATGACCTGCTGGTGGGTCAACTTGCAGAGCAAAGCAGCAGGAACTTGCGGCCCACCAAGCAGCCACCGACATTAGAGCAGTGCGTCTAAGCGTCTGTGGGAAGGTTGAAGGTGCCTCTCATCCGGATGCCAAATCACCTCTTTCAGAGCCAATAGCTCAGCCTGTAATTCACGGCAATTTGATCGATTTCTTCCCCCACCTTCACTTTGAAAACACACACCAACCCGCTTCGCCCGCGGCCGCGTTGCCTCCATCACGGGATTTGTAACGTTTCCTGCTGATGAAAGAGATCCGTTGGTCGGGACTGATTTCAACTCACACGGTTGCTTGTTCTTGACGAGTCGTATTTAATGTTACAGGAGAAATGCTTTGTTTGCAGTCGTATATGGATTGAATAAAAGCACAAATCTGCATTTGTACATTTGAAAATTCGGTGTCATAATTAACAATATTAACAATAAAATGTAAAATTGCCTCCATCAAAAATCATTTTGTACCATTTGAACCAATACTCAAATGGGGTTTGATGTTTTATATTGGCCGTGTTAGGCAACATGACCAAAAAGCCTTCAGTCAAACCGACACAGAAGATTTATTTACCGGTAACTTCATGATGTGTGCACACACACACATGGTGTTCTGATACATTCTTTGTCTCAGTCCTGATCACTGGACTTTGTCAAAGAAGCTACAGTTGAAAGCGTTTTAATACGTGAGATTTCCCTCACTGAAGCCCAAAGGAAAACATCTCATGATTATTCGCCATCTTTTGAATCATCATCATTGACCAGTGAGCTGAAGTTGTTCAGGTGCTGATAACACGCAGCTATTTAGAGCCCTGAACGTCCCAGAGTCGGTGGTCTGGGGGGGAAACATGCTTCACACGTTGCCCCTTGATTTCCTCTTCTCATAGGAGCCGTGGTTTCTAATCTGCAGATGTTCCATTTGTTCTCCTCAACATGTGGCTCTGGTGACGTTGTGGCGGTTTGGGCGGGCAGAGCGCTCCTCTCCAACGGAAAACACCGATGTGTTTGGACCTTGACCTGAAGGGGAAATAGTCCCGATGAAGCGTTTGTCCTCTTCTCTCTTTTGGTCGAGGAAGGAGAAAGAAAGGAAGTAGCGTTCGGTTTGTCTGTTTGAGGAATGAGATCCACCAAGATGAAACCTCACATCTCTGCCTCCTCCTCAGAAGTCCTTCACAGCGTTCCATGGAACAGTGAGTGATAACGGACATCCTGCTCTTCAACCATCAAAGCAATCTCAGCCATTTGATTTTATGTCTTAAAAGCCACGCTTTGGTTTTTCTGCAACGGGCAGTGACCTAAAAGGACCTTTCTACGCTTCAGTTTCTCCCTCACAGGTGGAGGTCAAGGGTCATAGATACCTGCACACGGAGCCCAGAGAATACAAAAAATATCCTGCCGAGAAACTCAGTTTGATTTCAATAAGGGATGAAAGGTTTTACAGGGGAAGATGAAGGGATGAGGGATGAGGGATAAAGGGTGAGGGATGAGGGATAAAGGGATGAGGGATAAAGGGTGAGGGATGAGGGAAAAAGGGTGAAGGGATGAAGGGATGAGGGATGAAGGGTGAGGGGTGAAGGGATGAAGGGATGAAGGGTGAGGGATGAAGGGTGAGGGTTGAAGTTCGGGATGAGCAGACGATGTGGAGGAAGGAGTGAAGAAGTTCTTTCCCTTTAAGTCCTTCTAACTGCTTTCAAACCGTCGCTCTTCCTGGAAGTAGAAAGAATTCAGACCCGTAAATATTTGTCTATCATCTTTCAACACTTATTAAAAGAACCTATTATCTATGATTCATCAAAACCCTTAATTTGACACACTGCTTGATACAAAGAAAAGGAATAAAATGAATAATCTCAGCTATAAAGCTTTTGTAGAATGTAAAGAACTTTTTGTTAAACTATTTTAGCTTTGAAAAACAAACGGAGGAACGGTGCGTTTGAGACCGTCGGGAAAAGCCGTTGTCTCCCTCGTGTCTCATGTGTCTCTGCCCTCCGGGGGGGACGAGGGGGGGGCGAGGAGGGGGGCTTCCTCCACTACAGTCACACACTCTCCAAGACACATCAATCAAAAGCCTGCCGCCTCAAAGCCACAACACTTCCTGTCATGTGATGACGTAGAAACAGCCAAAGATGTGAACTCACATGCGTCCTGAGTCGCTTCTTTCTCTCTTCATTAAAGGACACACAGCAGCCAGGAAATCAGATAACTTTAACAATTTTATTTGTGAAAAACTACAAGCAAAATTCATAAATAGACGTTTCTATTTGAAGCAGAGGGGGGAGAAACAAAAGATCAGGTTAGCCTATAAGCGCAAAGTCGTGCACATGCCAGAAACATGTAGTATTTTAACATTATAAGCCAGACAAGGATCTGCTGGAAATGCTGCATACATTTCCACACCAGCAACATAATGTGACCCTTTCACGAGGGGAAACAATGACACATCAGCTAGAAGTCTGAAAAATAACAAAACTGCATTAAACAAAGAATGGATTATTGTGTTGTCCCTAAAACTTTATTTTTTTTTTGTCCTTTTTTGTCACTTTTTTTAAAACCCGAGCAATAACTTTGAAATCATTTTACAAGACATCGTTATAGCAAGAAATGGGTGCGTGTAATACACTTAATTGTAAATTCACGGTAAAGGTTATACAGTCAGTAAACAAGCCTTCTATATTTGGGTCTCTGACAAACATAAGCTCAAATATGTAACCATCTTTACACAGTAAATTAAGGTTACTGGTCGCACACAAGAACAGAACTGCTTGCGTGGGAAAGAAAAGACTTCGATGCCATCATTCATAGTGTTTTAAAATTCTATGTACAAGCAATAATTCATATACGCAGCAAATGGCCATTTGTCAATAATTTAACAATGAATGCTCTGTTGAAACTCAGTCAAGTGAATGTTGGCGATAAGGCAGGTGTACAGACGGCTTCTTAAGCCCATTTCTAACACATTGCATTACAAAGCAGAGTTTGTTGGGTTTTTCTCGACGTTCCCATGATTCCCTTATTTCTTTTCTTCTATTCACATTGCTTTTCCTCACTGAACACTGACTCCATATTTGTATGCGATAAAGTACATAATTACATATTAACCACAGCTTTAGAAGAGCAGAGAGAAAAAGAACAACAATAACTCATGAGCATCTCTTGGACGCGTACGTGTGAACGCCGTCCGTCACCTCGCAGCCTGAGGTTGAATGAGGTCCTTTGAGATGGGGCGGGGGGGGGGGGGGGGGGGGGGCTCACCACACTGGTTAAGGGGCTCTGGGACACCCTCAAGGGGGGAGTGGGGGGGGGTTTCTCCCCCGTGGGAACCCCACACCCGGGGGGGGGGGGGGGTCGCTTACTGGGGACACACGGCTTATCCCTCCCCCGCTTCTCACCGCCCCCCCCCCCGAGGGGGCGGAGTCTGGCTCGCAGCGCTACACACACTTCTCTGACCTCAGCGTGCGCAGAGACAAGTGGACAATAAGAACACCGTTTATATGGATTATATTAGTCTTTATTTAAACTGTTATTCATCTCACACATTAGATAATTGCAATTCCAATTGTTATTTATCTGCCTATGTATCATTATGTCATTATGAAATTCCTTTGGTCCTTCAATAAATAAAACTAAGATATCATATACACATTTATTCTTTATACAATTTCATACAATTAAAAAGGAAATGATGTTGGTCTAGTATCAGCTAAGGTGGAAGGGAATAAAACCCTTAAATAGGCCTCGCTGTTTAAAAAAATCAAAGAGCAATTGTGTTCTATTAACTACTGCAATAGTAATTTTTGCCTTCAAAGACGGGAGTCTTAAATTTATCAAGAAAATAAAATAAAAACTGAATTGCAAATCTCTTTGCAAATTTAGTTTGCACTCCGTTTTTCTGGAGTATCAGTTTGAGAGAACGAAGATTCAAAGTAGTGCGAGCGTCCTTCAGTCACCACGGGAACAAACGGTGGCTCCGGAGCCGAGAGGACGGCTCTGCCTTCAACCAGGAACACAAAACAAACTCAACATCCAAGTACGGAATGCAGAAAATATCCACAGCTTTTAGTGTTTTACACAGTCTACACTGTACAGTCAAGAACAGAAGATACTGTACAAGAGATCTGCCATAGCATACTAAACCGCTGAAACGTCCTTGAACTTTGACCTGAACAGACCGATGGAGGTCCAGACGGCGTCCAGAGACGGTGATGATCAGAAAAGGTGAATGAGAATTTGATTCATCAGCACTCCGTCACATTGAGTGAATGGACAAACCCAGATCTGCAGAAACGCTTCACAGTGTATCTAGCACCAGTGTGTGTGTGTGTGTGTGTGTGTGAGAGAGTCCGGTCATCTTCGTACTGTAATAAAAACACTGCAGGAATGATCGATCGGCGGAGCTACACAGCAAAGCTTCAACATAAAAAAGGAGAATATCAAAGAATAGATGTGCAACAGGTAATAAATAAGGTAATGATAGTTTAAAGTACTGAAACGATGGTGTCGTTGTGCCCAGCGGAGAATTCTTCTTTACAAAAACAGAACAAACAAAAGAAAGCTCGACTTGGCCGTACATAGAAATATAAAACAATACATACAAGTGTCTGGATTGGGGGAGGGTGAGGTGGGGGGGGCGGAGGGGGGGCTCTCCTCGCCTGCGCCACAGGTTGCGACCACAAGGAGCGCTGCACTGTTCCTCTCAGACGTCCGCTCCACTGCTCGTCCCCTCTGGGGGGGTTCAAGTGGTCATGGAATGGAGGCAGGGGCCCCGATGAGAAAGGCGATAACTCTCCCTCTCTGGGACCCATAGTGTCCAGAAACGTGTGGTGGTGTGTTGAAGGGGGGGGTGGGGTTGTGTAGCGGGGTCGGGGCGAGGACAGGTGGACTAAAATGGGAGGAGTGGGCTTGGGGGGGCTTCAGTACGACTCGTCATGCCCCACAGAGAGCTCCCCTTTGGGCGTGGAGGCCCGCGACGAGCCCTTGTCCATGCTCTCGGAGCCGGAACTCTGGTGCTGCTGTTCGGAGCCGGCGCTGGACGTGATGGTGGACGAAGACGTGGACGAAGAGCGGCTCTTCTCCTTTAAGTCTGTGATGATCACCGTCACGATGCCCACGGAGATGGCCAGCTGCTGGGCGGTGCTCCGGTCGACGTTCTTCAGTTTGGGCCTGAGGAGGGGCGGGGGGGGGGGCGCAGACAGAGACGTTAAAAACACACAAAGAGACAACCGGTGAGCGTGAGCGGCACCGCAAAACCGCGAGGGGGAGGCCGCCACCGCGAGGGGGCGGTTACACTGAATTGCTCAATTTGCCGGGTGACACATGAAGAACGATAGTGTGTAAAGTGAGTGTGGGTGTTTGGTGTAAAAGATCACTTGTGAATCATTTGAGGTTTTCCACCTCGCACGGTGCTGCACGACTTTGTCTGTGAGAGAAGAACCAGCGTCGTCGGCGAGGTGGAACCCACCTGGAGATGTGACTGATCTTGTTGGTCTTGGTTGCTGATTTTCCGGACTGTATGCTGTGTTTTTCACTGGGTGGGCTCTGGTGGTTGTCTGTTTTGGGTCTGGGGGGGGGGTGGAGGGGAGGGGACAGGTTAGACATCAGGGAGGAAGACACCAGCAAAGAGGACAGGACGTGCACGCTGACCTGGTCTTTTTGCTGCTGGGCTTCTTGGTGACGGCCGCGACGACGTCCTTCTCTTTGTTCGGCTTGTCTGTGATCAGCTGCTGCTCGGTGTCGCTCTTCTCCTTCTCGGGGGGGTCTCGCTCGGGCATCGGCAGCTCCGGACGCTCGACTTCCGGACGCTCGACTTCCGGACGCTCGACTTCCGGACGCTCGACTTCCGGACGCTCGACTTCCGGGTGTCCCTCGACCTCCGGGGGTCCCTCAAAGATGGCACGCTCGCCCTCGCCGTCGGGGCGATCCTTGTCCGTGCGTTCGCTCCTCTCCCGCCGCTCCTTCTTCGGCGGCGGGGGCATCGGGTACTGCTGGGCCACCTGCTGGGCAACCAGCTGGGAGTTGATCCTGGGTTTCCTGTGGAGGAGATCAAAGGCACAGAGATGGATTAGCCCCGTAGCGGAGCTGCGCGCTAACGGAAGCTGGGGGCTGGCGAGCGGCGAGCGCGGCCGCTTCCTGCTGGAGCCGCTCCGTTCGGAGGGCTAATCTCATTAGCTCACGGCTGTAATAAAATGAATGCACGGGATCACGAGGTGGGACATTTGCAGCACGTCACTTAGGCCCTCTAATCTGATTACTGCAGGGTTGGCCCCATTTGTCACAGGCGGAGATTCAGTTGGACATGGTGGAGCTGCTCCGCTCACCAGCACTAGACACCTTGCAGTCCTGTATTCAAACCCTGCTCCTCCCGCTCATCCTCGCCGCCTCCTTCTCATTTAGCAAACAGTGACAAGGAAAACTTTAAAGAATCCCACGGATTCCTTCGAAGAGGCACTTCCCTTTTCCGACTGTTACAAACATGCAGGATGCAGCATGTTGCTCCATCAGCTGTGCAGAAGAGTAGAACCTGAGCCAACGCGCGCACCTGCAGCACGATGTACACCAGCCGGCAGCATCGGGGGGGGCAGAGGCTTCGACTTGGCTGAGACCAAACTGCAGCGTGGCTAAACGGAGGCCAGGACACACACACACACACACACACACACACACACAGCTAAGGAGGCCTTTCGCCTGGAACACGCTGGCTGTGTGTAACCAGCGCTCGTCCCGGCAGCAGTTTGTGACGCACCGCTGCACGGGGACGGGGCGCCCCTGATCCTCGGGACTGTTCAAACCTCGTCGGTCCAGGTCAACAAGAGCTGCCGCTGAAGGACACAAAGCTCCGACGGGGAAAACAAATGTTTTTGCGTGCGGTATTTTTACAGCCGGCGCGTGTGAAGCAGCTGAAAAGTGTTGTCAGGCGCCCGCGGCTCCGATTTCACCGGCTTGATGTGGAGTGGTTTTCAGACGGCAGCTTAAGTGGTTAGCCTCAGTGGTTCAATTTGGCATCATTACATCGCCAGTCCGGTTACTCTTGTTTCTGCATTGGCAGCCCTGCGTGTCTGTCTGTCCCCCAGGATGCTGCACGCCGTCCGTCTGCGTCTTGGTAGCCGGCCACTTAAAAAAATAAAACCATCCAATTCTTTTTAGCGCCTTTTTTCCTTCCTGTTGCTCCATCAGGACCATTAAGTCTCCCCCTGCTGCGGCCCATTACGGACAGAGAGGGTATTTCCTTGGGGAGCGCGTGCTGCTGATCAATCGCGGCATAATAGAGCATCACGTCGCTGCGTTCCGCGCTGCACTCCATCAACGCGGCTGGCGGCGATCGACTGCTTTGAGGCGTTTACAGCGCGTGCGCCAGTCTGACGCTCGGCACTCGCTTGTGGAGGCAACGGAATTATTTGTTCAACAATCAGTTGCCAGAATTCATGTGTGTTCATTGACTCGGACTATAAAACTGTACAATAGGCGCTTTTTAACCTTATTCCAGCTCTGTGCCAAAAGAATCCAGGGAAACCGTGAGATCCCAAATGAAGCACTGGAAGCTGCTTTAAGGAGCATAAATAATGATGAACTACGTTCTTCTGCCTGCGGATTCATTGATTCATAGGAGGGGATCATTTGGAGCATTGGACCTCCTCCCATAGTACATTCCAGCACACCATGTCACTGACATAACACACCTCCCCCCATGGGAACCTTGTGGGTCCCTCAAGTACCTCTGGATTAGTGATCAGGGGTCAGCGTGTGGCGGGAAATAACCAACACGCAGCCAAGAACGTGTCATAAAGAATTCCACTTTTGGGGCGGCAGCTGAGCTGAACAAAGATGTGAGGAGTATCTACAATAACAGAAACACACACAACACAAACAACAAGGCACACGGGAGGGATCTGATCCTAATCCACAAGTAAACAGATTCAACACAGCCAGCTCCCCAAAAGATGACAAATCATTGTATCTGGCAGCGCGAGCCGTTAGTCAAGGAGGCGGTGACGGAGTGATTGATGGGCCCTGGTCAGTCTGGGATGCGTGTCGGCGGCGGCGGTGGTTGGGCAGTGATTCAGTGCCAGCTGTAAGTCAGCCACCAGCTAATGTTGGTGTGATGGAGCCACCGCTCGCTTTGCCCCATTATTTATTTACTGACCACACACGGCGGCTTTGCACAGCCACACTCCGCGGCTCATTAACATGGCTGGAGATCCGGCTTGACAGCACGTGTGTGTGTGTGTGTGTGTGTGTGTGTCTCTCTGAACAGCTGTAAAAACTAAATCCTATTGAAAACTAATTGTGAAAAACATGTTATTATAATCCGCTCACATTTTTTAACATAGAATGTACAAATCTACCTACAACATTGCAGAAAATGACTCCACAACTGAAACATGTTATTTTTGCAAACATCCAAATCAAATACAAAACACTGACGTTTCACAGGAGGACTGGAAGCAAACCAGGAGGCGGCCCAGCAGTGAACTCCAGCGCCCAATTGGAGAGATTGCTCCGACCTCCCGCGGCTGCCAATGTATTCGTGGGGATTCAGTGTGCGAGTGTGAGAAAGAGAGTGTCAAGTGTGCAAAGCCGGCTGTCGAATTATTTCCCCACTGTGAGGGCTTACAGCTTATTACCTCCCCTTTGCACAACAATAGGCCGTGATTGACAGCTCCTCTCATGCCCTAAATTCCACCGTCTGGGGGAGGGAGGCAGGGAGGGAAGGTGTTAGGAGGGGGAGGGAGAACTCCCTCCACGGGACGCCCTGGAATAACTATCATCACACGTAAAAGCTTCTAATTCAGTCAGACTGACAGCCGAGGTAGATCGCTCTGCTCAGCCGGAACCGTCCCGCAGACGGACACAGCGCTTTGGCTGCAGGAGGCGCAAGAAAAGACAGAAACAACTGAAAACCTGTGGCTGCTTCTGCAGAGGGAACTCTTTCGAGAGATACCGGAAAACAATGAGCCGCAGAGAGTAATGAAGGGCGGGAGAGCTGATGTATGGACAGAGAGAGAGAGAGGGGGGGCTGCAGGAAAGCCCTCATTAACACGCCGCTTTTATTTGAAGTGCTGTGTCGAGGACAAGCAATTATTTCCTGCCGGGCTGAGTGAATGCAGTGGCAGACAGCTGAGCGAAGAGGGTGGGGGGGAGAGAGCGTATTCTTTGATGCCCACTGAAGAGCTCAGACTGTTTAACGCCACCCACTCTCTCATTCAGACTGAAAGAAAACCGCATCCACTCAGCACCAACGTGGGCCGCTCGTCCTCAATGATGTGCAAAGTTGTTCACAAACATGAAGCCTCCATTCATACGCATTCGGCGGTGACCTGGTTTCTCCCCCCCCCCACCACACAGAACCGAGGGACCATCCCAGCCTCGGCCTGGAGCACAACTCCCTGGTCCGGCGTGTCTGATGGGGCAACGTCCCGTGACACAGCAGACGACCCACACTCACCGCTGTGTGTCGGCTGTACGGGCGCCACGGCAGGGCGACGGAGCAGAGCCTGCCTGCGCTGCTCCTGAGGAGTTGAGCAGCCCGCGGGCTTTTATATCTGCGAGCTCCATCGTTCTATTGTCAACTGTTGGACCATCCTGCCAGAGACTGGAGGTATGTCTGCATGGCAACACGGCGTCCTGACGCATACGTGGAATTGTCCGTGTATCGGGGCACAAGTGGAAACGCTGTGTAAAAAGCATTGAAGTCAATCTCTATAGCTCATGTTTCATCTGAATATTGTGTGATAACGATCAGCAGTAAAACCTAATTACACACTTCACTGGGTAATTAATTCACAGTTATCATGGGGAGAATCCACAGGCCAACTAGAACCCACTCAAGCGCTTTCCAGAGAAGGGACGGCAATCTTAAAGTAAATACCTTACAGGAACAAGGCTTCATTTATGGGGATGTTAAATGGAGAAACGTCAAATAAAGAATACCAGTGGACTGCAGGGACACGTGTTGATCAGTGGAAGCGGCGTGCGCTGACTGAAGCGGTGTTCAGTCACGCTGTGGAGGGTGAAGGAGAAGAAGAGCAGCCTGCGGCCACAGAGCTCCTACGATTCGTTCCCACCAGATGCCTCCAGCATTTAACCCTCCACGAGTCGCCTCCAGGCCGGGCTGAGGGCGTAAGACCCGCTCCAGGGCCGCCCTAAGGGGCACAAAACCCAGCCAGAACCCACTTTGAACAGGAATATCGTGTACTCATCACAAACCCATATGAATGCTTCACACCTTTCGAAATTCAAAGGTTTTTTGTGTGTTGTATTGATTTATTTCCTCACCATCAACATAAAAACTGATTTTTACACATCAGAACCCTCACAGGAGTCCAGATAAACAAAGCACTTCCAGAGAAATTACACTTTTTATCACAAATATGACATTTTTTGAGTTGAACAGGTTCATGTAACCCCCCTGCGTGCCTGGAGGGTATGTGACTTCAACCACCTTATTTCAATCAGGAGCTTCACACAGCAGGATCTCAGAAGCTACACCCGACACCATCTCTTAAAAAAAGTAAACGCCAGCCATGACTCTTAGTTCCTCTTGACATTATTGAACAGAAAAAGACCAAATTCTAAGAAACCCGTCAACTTTTCTGTCACAACTGCCAAACTGCAAAAGCCTTTGGCACCACGCTGGCTGGAGAGTTTTCTGTCACTTCGGAAACGCTAAAATAGTCTGAGTGAAAGAGGTAGACATATGCAAGAAAAAGAAAAAAGAAGCTCTACGAATAAAAAGAGGAAATGTTGGAAGAGCCTGACAAGCAGCCCTGCTGCAACGACATGCAAACACTGTGAAACCATCACTTACTGCAAGCTGTTGAGGTCTGCGCAAAAATTACAATCAAAACCCATGTTGTCCCGCGCATCGCCGTGCACACACGCCGCTGCTTTCCCAGTACGTCTCCAATGCATAAATCAAGCGCTGGTTTGGCAGCGAGGCGGGCAGCTGTGCGTCTGCTTCACGTACTCTTTCAGCCAGCGTATTGCAGAGAGAGTAGCCGTGCGTGTTGCGGTTACCTGCTGGTTAACAGAAA